ACTTTCCCTCTTCCTCTGTATATGGATATATATGGAATACAGAAAGTGGGAGAAAACCTAGTGCAATATGTCAATATTCAAAAGTGCATATGAATGGGGTTGCAGAACTGCTCACTTTCTCAGGAGCCTATTGCACGAAGAATTAAAAATACCATTTACCACTTGTATAAAACCAAATATAAGTAAAACATATTCCAAGTATCACAAATGGAGGCAAGATGGTCATCCAAAGCACGGATAGCTGTATCAGAAAAGACGGTCGGTAGAACAGTAGGATGACAACCGTTATGAATAAAGAATGGGCTATGTCCAGAAGAGTCATGGTCAGCATTATTTCTAGCAAACTCGGCCCAGAGTAGTATAGAAACATAGAATGTGACGGCAGATAAGAAACATTCGGCCCATCTAGTCTGCCCAATTTTCTAAATAATAGTAATTTGGACCAATTATCCTGAGTGCTATTAACAAAACAATGCAAATATAATTCCAATGACTGGTTAACCCTCTCAGCCGTGCCATTGGTTTGGGAGTGGTAAGAGGAAGAAAAAGACAATTCAATGCCCAACTGTTTATTGAAAGCCCTCCAAAACCAAGAGACAAACTGAGAACCTCTGTCAGATACAATATTGTGAGGAATACCATGAAGTCGGACAATTTCATATATAAAAATAACGAGGTCTTGAGAAGATGGCAATTTTTTGAGCGGAACAAAATGAGCCATCTTGGAAAAGCAGTCAACCACCATGATGATGGTGGTATAGTAATTAGAACTAGGAAGTTCTACTATGAAATCCATGGACAAATGGGACAACGGAATACTAGGAATGGGGAGTGGATGCAATATCCACATGGAAGCTTATGAGGTACCTTAAAAACTGCACAGACAGAACAGGCCTGCACATATTCTTTAACATCTTTCCTGAGAGAATCCTACCAAAATGATCTCATGATTGAGGATATGTATTTATTAATGCCTGGATGACCAACAGTTACGTTGTTGTGGAACACATGACATTCTCTCTTTCAGCCAACGGAACAAATAATTTATCTAGTGGTTTATTGCATGGTGCCTGAGACTGAGCCTCCGTGATGGCGCCAAGCAGGGGAGATGACAATGAAAGAACAGTGGAAGCGATGATACACTCAGGTGGAATAATAGGGGATGTCTCTTGTTCCTGTATACATTCAGTATCAAACTGTATTGATAAGGCGTCTGCCTTTACATTTCTGGGACCTTGTCTGTAAGTTATAAGAAAGTTAAAGCAAGATAGGAACAAAGACCATCTAGCCTGTCTAGAAGACAGTCACTTAGAGTTAAATATGCCAAATTCTTATGGTTAGCAATGATCAAAAGGGGATCCTTGGAACCCTCCAAAATATGTCACCACTCTTTAAG